GGTTAAGATGAGAGGGCCGATAGCTCATGTTGTCATATGACCCAACTGTAGTGGATACTGTGGTATACCACCAGACTCTGCCCTTAGGACCAAGCCAAGGAGTGTTGGCTCCTGACAGCTCACAGCTGCCTCCCTCCCCATGAATTTCCCAAAGCAGTTGCCTTACCCAGAGTTATTTCCCCTTCCCAGGTTCAGTCCACATCCAAAAATTGGTCTGAATGGACATAATGAAGACCCAGCCCTGTTGCTTCAATTAGGACAATTTAAGGGCCATTCTAGCTCCAGAGATCCCCATGAGATTGACTGAAGATTCTATTACAACTACATCACAGTTCATCATCTTATTTCTTCCTCTGCCCAATTCTCATCAATGCCCCACAGGTATTGATCCCCAAGAGTATTAACATCCTGAATTCAAATCTCAGACTCTCAAAACAAAGGCAAAAGCAAAAACAATACAAAATAACAGAAACCCCAGCATCTCATGTTTTATTTTCCAGGGTCCCTGATGTATATATTCCCCATGGACCTTGATATCCAACCATCTTATGCTTTACTTGTCTCCATTTGGGTAGTTTCAGTTAGTCTTGTAAATTGACCGCCCTGATTCCTGTCATCCTAGTAATTAATCAACTGCTGTGCTTGCAAGGAGAAGATTCTGATACAAATCTTGGGCCACAGTGGCCAGGGCTGATTTCTTAATTCTTAAGTAGTTGGTAGATTTCTCTTCTTCACTATCATCCCTAAAGGGTTCTTTTAATCTATCTTTTCTTCTTCTGACTACTTAAAGACTGGTGTTTGGCACTTAATAGTGATCATTAAAATTCACTAAGCACTAGATGTTAAACACCGTTCTAAGTGTTTTGTATCTGTATCTCTCTAATCCACATCAACACTAAGAGATAAGTCTTGTAAGTATTCCCATTTTTATAGGTAGGGAACTTGAGGCACAAGATGTTAAATAACTTCCTCAAATTACGAAGCTAGTGAATAGTAGAGTCAGAGTTCTAAACTAGGCAACCAGTGTGCTGCACCAGCTCAGCCAAGGGTTCAGTGAGCCTGAGGAGGGGTGTTGAAAGATTAAAGAAATGACAGACAAAGAGAATATAGCTGGGGCTAGGTGGATCTCCTGTGCCTGGATGAGGCCACAGAGAAGGATCCAGCCAGCAAGCTGAGGCTTTATTTTATAGTCAGAGAAAAACAAGGTAGTGGTCACCATAGGTACACTGTTCTTGTGAGTTTCACTTGTTTTGGCAACACTTGTTGCACCTCCCACAGCCCATTCGCTACCCAAGAAGGATTTGGGGTGGGGGGACCCATAAAGTCAAGCTTAATTATGCTAAGAGGCACATGTTTGTGGCTCTACCACAGGTCAATCTGAGGCTTAACCTAGAGCTGCTCCCTACAAACCTGACTCCACTATTCACCAACTTAAATAAAGGATGCAGAAAAGAATTTGATGGAGCTATGAGTGAATGAGGATGGATCTGGCAAATGACATGTTCAAGTCTTGTTGCACAGTGATAAATTAGATCCTCAGGGAAAGTATTCTCTGAATGTTTCTAAGGGAAGAAACTTTGCTAGTGATCTTAGGTATTCCCATAATGATTCTACTGTGTGTGTAGGATGCTGCTAAATTCTGAGGTCCTAGCCAGTTCTGAAAGATTAAGAAATTGTAAAACCCCCTTTCTCAAAGGGTATTGAGACTTGAGGAATTTCTACAAAGCATGTTTGACTGACTTAGAAGTGAATTTAAAATTAAGGTGCTAAACAAGTCACAAACCCTTTAAAGTATTATTTATCTTAATCTGTAGCTTCAAATGCTAATAAACCTCTTCAGATATTAGATAGGCCTGTAGGACTTGGGATTTCTCTGGGGTTCAATTAACTTAAAAAGATTAAGAAAAATGCATAGCCAGGGGTGTTTATCATCAAAACTCATCATTCCCCACTTTCCTCTTCCTTATCAGAAGTCAGAGGCAACATGTAAGATATGTGGCTATCAGAGGTTATAGCTTGTTGCCAATGAAAAAGCACAGCTGAGTTGGATTTAGCTTATGGCCCCTCTGTTGAAATTTAGGATCTCTTATCTTTGCTTCCACTTCTTCTGTCTAGACACTTGACAATGATTTGCAGGAAATTAAGGCACTTACCCCTGCTGAGAACTCGGGGCTAAAACATTTCTAAATATAATTTGTGTGTGTGTGTTTTTATACAAGTTAATGTTAATTCAAAAGGAAAACAGCAGGTTTTTTGTGGGGTTTTTTTCTGCCTCTGGGAATGGCATTAGCTAACCCTCACTCAGAGCTGTGTGACTTTTCATATGCTATTTTTTCTAGGCTAATAAGCTTGTCCAGTTATTTAGGGAACAAAACACTAACCTATCTTCTTTGACAAATGAAAATCAAAGGGCGTAAGATTCTTGTCTGAGGCCACTTTTTCCTTCTTTCACTTTCTTTTTTTCTTATAAAGATGGAAAATAATTTTGTTCTCTTAAAGCTGGTATCAGAACTTCTTATAGTAAAAAGGAGACATATGTAATACTTTCAACAATAAAGAATTAAAGAAAAAAAAGAATAGCTGAATGGCCCTGGCCAGGTGGCTCCGTTAGTTGGAGCATCGTCCTGCACATCAAAAGGTTGTGGTTCCATCCCCAGTTGGGGTGCGTTCAGGAGGCAACCGATGGGTATTTTTTCTCTCACCTCAGTGTCACCCACCACCCC